AAACAACCTAAATTTAAAAAAAAAAAAAGAGTTGGTTGAGACCTGCTGGCACTTTCTGAACCCTGCTACACATTAGAAAGCGTCTAAGAAATTCTGCTATAAGATCCCTCAGTAACCGATTAAGTGTAAACAGGAAGGAACAGTGCAGTCACCTTCTAAACTGCTGTAACCACACAAAGACTAGGCAGGAAGTGGCTTAGGCAACATGACAGGCTGGCCCTGTTGAACTAGGATTACTGTCTAGCCTTTGATGACAGGTACAAATTTCCTCAAGGATTTCCAGAAATATCTGGGAGAACCTTTCCAAGTTTTTGAATTTCTGGTCAAGCTAGTAAGGGCCTGCGGTTAATGGGCTTTGGAAATTGATATTTAATAGTATGACATTATCCCTAAGTTAACTAAGTCATGAGCATATGAAGTCTGAAAACAAAATTTGCACACATCAAATTTTACAAATAAAAATACGTCTCCTTGATATGATCCTTTGTCATTTTGACTACCTAGTGTTTGTTTTGATATTTTCCAATGTTATTAGCATATTCAGAAACATAAAATCTAGTCACTGTGAACCACTTAAATACTTAGTTACAGTGACAATCAAGAAAAATGTTTTGTGATCTCAGTTAATAAGAGATGATCTGACTTCTGAAGCACTGATGAGATTCTAAGTTCTCATCTTTGTAAAAAAAATTAACTCATCTGACAATTATAAGGTGTGAGTCTGAAGATGAAAAGGAAAAGAATGGTTCTCAAGTCTTTCAAATGCAGATATTTAAAAAAAGAAAATTACAGAGGAAATCATTAGTATTTATTAGCTCCCTGTCTAATTTTCTGGCCTGAACTTTTTCCTAAATAACAGATTTTTTGTTATGTGTCCTTTTGCTTATCAAGACAATTCAATATAACACCAATCATTCCTTATGATTATGTCATAAATATCATTATGGTTATATCATCAATAATGAATTATTGCTGTTTTTTAGGTGCCATCGAGTTGAGTATGATTCATAGCAACCCCATGAACAAAAGATCTGAACCCTGTTCTTTCCTGCTCCATCCTCACACTTCCTGACACACAAGAACCCACTGCAGCAGTTACTGTGTCAATCCACCTGGTTGAGGGTCTCCAACAACCCTCCACCCTTCACAGCATCATGTCCTTCTCCAAGGAATAGCCCCTCCTGGCAACATGAGCAAAGTATGCGAGGTGAAATCTCATCATTCTTGCCTCCAAAAATCACTCTGGCTGCAGCCTCTCTAAGACATAATGTTTGTTCTTTTGGCCGTCCATGGGATGTTCAGTGCTCTTCTCCAACACCAGAGTTCAAAAGCATCCATTCATCATCTCTCATCCTTATTCATTGTCAAGCTCTCAGATGCAGAGCAAGTGATTGGAAAGACTACGGTCTGAATCAAACGTTCCTTAGTCCTCAAACTGACATCATTATTCCTCAATAATTTAGAGAAGTCCCTAACTGCAGATTTTCCCAGTGCAATGTGTCTCCTTATTTCTTGACTGCTGGTACTAAGGGTGTTAATTGTGTATCCAAGAAAGGCGAAGCTGTTGCCAGTTTCAATCTCCTCTCCAGCAATGATGATGTTGCCTATTGGTCCAGTGGTAAATCTTTGTTTCTCTTGACATTGAGATGTAATCCATACCATAAAAAACTTGTTTTAGACTAAAAGAAACAGGTATTTAAGAGTCTACTGGATCATTCAGTGAAAATTCTCCCAAGCCTTTCCAAAGCTGCAACTCACATGGGAATCAGTGACTTATGAGCAGACGACAATCAGCGTGGCTCACCGTCAGGATGCTTTCTGAGGAGCCCCAAGAGAAGTCTAGACACAGAAGTACCTGGTTTTATCACAATTTCCTCTCTTGCACTTTGACAGACAATTGCCATTTTTTTTTCCAATTAAAGCTTTATGGCAACCCTGCATCAAAGAAGGTTTTCCAGGAGTAGGTGCTGCTGGTGTCATTTTTTTTTCTTGCTGCATATTCTCACTTCATGTCTCTGTGTCACATTTGATAATTTTCACAATATTTCACACTTCTACTTTCTTCGTAGACTATAGTGCCACCACAAAGCATATACACATTATTGTTGTGTGCTGTCAAGTCAGAACTGACTCACAGTTGACCCTCCAGTGGGGTGTCAAAGGCAGTAAATTCTATGGGAGGAGATTATCCAGCCTTCTCTAGTGAAACAACTGTTGAATTCGAACCACGTACATTTGGGATTGCAATGTCACTTCTTACCACGAGGCCACCAGAGCTCTAAAGAGAATATAATTTGCTGTTTTGTGATGGTCACTTGATTGGGATGGTCTTAAACCAAGGCCACACTATGTCTGAGGGATGCCTGTGCTTAAAAGCTGGTGAGCACAACAGATAAAGGGGCACCCTCTAAATCCACTCAGCAAAGACAACCCTAGCCAAACATATTACTGGAGAAGCAGAGATTTATTCCTTCCTGCCCTAAATCTTTGTGTCTGTGCACGGAGCATGAGCATGACGTACTGCTCTTGTCTTACTGGGGATGACAGCAGATTTACTCTGATTTCGTGGCATGCTCATGGCCACCACGCATTTTCAAGAGGGCAACAGGCAGGTATATTTTCACCATTAAAAGATTCAGCCTGCTTAAAAAAAATATCAAATTTTGGAAATTAGGGCAAAATACTTCAGTTCAATTGATATGATTCCAAAACCCATCTGCCGAAGCTCACATCCCCATGTCTATGTGTCTGCTGAAGGTGTAAGAATAACTTTATAAGCTAAAGGAGGTAATTTTCACCGGAATAAAAACTCTAGAAAACCAGAGCCTCTTTCCCAGTGTTTTCCCTTCTCCCTGTAGTTGGATTAGCTGGAGATCTAGATTTATGTGTATAGTATGTGTATGTGTCAGAGAGCTGGACAATGACTAGGGAGGACAGAAGGAGAATTGATGCCTTTGAGCTGTGGTGTTGAAGAGTATGGAATGTACCATGGACTCCTAAGAAAAACAAACAGGTTCATCCTGGAGAGGGTTAAACCAGGCTGCTCCTTAGAGGCAAGGATTCTGAGCCTTCATCTGACTTACTTTGCACATGTTGCAAGGAGGGATCAGTCCTTGGAGAAGGACATCATGCTTGGGAGGGTAGAGGGACAGCACAGGAGAGGAAGACCCTCTATGAGGTGGATTGATTCAGTGACTGGGATAATTGGGGTGGGTATGTTGGAGACAGTGAGATTGGCACAGGATAGAGCAGGGTTTAGGGCTATTATACGTAGGGTCGCTATGAGTCGCAAGCAACTCGACGGCACATAACAACAACATGTCTTCCTACCCAAGGATAATATGTAAGAAGCCCTGGTGGCACAGTGGTTACACATTCAGCAGTTAACCCAAAATGTCTGCAGCGGGAACCCATTGGCTGCTCCACAGGAAACACACATGCGGAGTCTAGTCCAGGAAAGACTACATGCAACTCAGGAAGCCCCACTTTGCTGTTGCTAGGTGCCTTCCAGTTCTACTCGACCCTATAGGGTCGCTATGAGTTGGAACTGACTAAGCAACAATGAGGTTTTGGATTTGGCTTAAGGACAATATCACCTGTAAACAAATATTTCAATTGCAGGCTCTTTCATGTTTCCAACAGGCTTTGGGACAGCACATTTCATACAGTTAGTTAGATGGAGATATAATACCTTCAGCATCCAGCGTCTTCAGCAGGTGTTTAACAGACTTCTGGAGGGCTCTGAATCCTTTGTTAGATGTGACACGTGGATATACCTTCTCCGTGATGAGCAGAGCACTAACCAGTTGAAAAACAATTAAAGCAGATTGCATTTCAAGGTTTGCAGACAGAAACAAAAGGTTATTCAAGGGGAAAATGGATACAGGATAGCACAGTATTCTTATAACGTCAAAGACAAAACCGTTGCTTTTGTGATTGAATTACTTGTTTGTGTGTTCATGCACAAAATGCCAACAACATGTTCTTTAACCAGAACAGAACACAACACTTGATACAACACTTGATAGTGCCAGGATTCTGAAGTTTCAAGTCTCTCCTCCCCACCCCCTGCCCCATCTCTCTCACGTTAAATAAGGGAGTAAAATATTGGGCAGTTCCAACCCACTGTCCACTTTGCAAAGAAAAGATGGCACAGGTCAATTCTGTACAGATTTAGCCTTGAAAACACTATGGGGCAGTTTCAAGAGGTTCGAAGACCTACGCCATAGGTTCAAGAGTAGGGGTAGACTCAACTGCAGGGGAGAAATAGGAACAAAAACTGTTTAGAGACCTAAGTATCTTTAGTGTCTTTTAACAAGTAGGACACTCTGGCAGCTTAGTGGTAAGGAGTTTTTACTGCCAAATCAAAGGCACAAGGTTCTAATTCACCAGCTGCTCCATGGGAGAAAGATAAGCAATCCCTTCTCATGTGATTTACAGCCTCTGAAAAGCAGCAGGAGGGTCAGTTATGAGTTGGCTCTGAATTGATGGTACTTAAAAACATCAACAACAAATAACAGTTTCTATTCTATTTGAGAGTCTGTCTAATCTTAAGAATTTAGACACGTGAAGCTGTTTTAGGACATACATATATGTCGCTATGCATATTACATATATATCTACATATGTGTGCTTGTTCACATATGCATGCATGTATGCATAAATAAGTTTACTTAGTTCTCTAATCATTTCATAAAAAAAATTTTACTGTTTTGCAAATAGGAAGATTAGAATTTAAAGACATTAAGTAGCTTACATAAAGTTATCTGGTTAATAATAAGTATAACAGAAGCCTGCCTAGTTTCAAAGGTTTTATTCTTCCCATTTATCATCTTGCTTCTGATGCAGAAAATTTGCCCCAAGATGGTAGTAGGTGAAGGTTAAGCTCAAGGTCATTGTTACCGTGTGCTGTCCAATCTCTGTGGTCAAACCTTTTTCCTGCCTTGTCTATTGAGGCATGACTGCATATTTTTCATCTCTACTCTGTCTGTGTGACAGTTCCGACCTCAGGCATTCTTTTGGTTTGCTCCAAGAATCTCCTGGTCCTCTGATTCTGAATTGCTTTGGAACCCTGGCAACCCCAGGGACCAGTTTAATAGTCTCGGGTCAGGAATCTCTACCTGAGTCTCATGGCATGCCCTCTGTTCACTCACCTTATCCGCTGTCCCCACTAACTGCTTCAAGCACAGAATACTTGACAACCTCATTAAAACCCTCAGTATTAGTGTTATTGACAGCATTAAGCAGATTGCAAGAAACCTAGTTTATCTTTTTTCCTAACAGAGCAAGGCATCAAAAAAGGACAACTTACCTGCACTCTTTCTGAAAACTTTTGAAATATCCATCAAAATGACATTTTTTACTTCATAGATTTCAATTTTCTGTTTTTATCCTATCAACTCAGAAGTGATCCAAGACAAGTTTTCTGTCTTTATTATTATTACATAGGCTGCACTAACACATTTATAACCATTACTTGACAACATAATTTATAGCATAACACTTTCATATGCAATAATTTTATTTTAAATTAATCAAAATAGCTATAACGTGATAATTTGGGCCTATGTAATTTACCCAAATGACATTTTTTGAGTTTTGTTGTTGTTTTGTATGGTTTTTTCCTCTTGATTATTATTATTTTATATTTCAAATTTGTTGTTTCTTGGCTTTCAAACAAACTTTGTTGAGGCACAATTCACAAAAAATAATATGCAGCTATTTTAGTTATATAATTCAGTAAGTTTTGATAAATATGTATACTCACGTAACCAATAATTAACATACAAGACTTTTCCATCTATCCAAACATGTTTTCTTATGCTTTCAATGATCGTACCAAGAAACTGATTGATTTCTCTCTATAAATTAATTTTATCAGTCCAGGATTTATGAAATTATGGGTATCTATATGTATAGTTTGTATATTGTCTGAATTCTTTTACCATCATAATTGTCATGGTGTTAGATATTTCTTCACATGACTGAAATAGGAGGAAACCATAATTTGAGCATTCAGTTGCTGAATATTTGCATCCCCTTCTGATATTTTGCAATTATGAATCACAGGGGAGGAGATTGCTCATCTTTGTTCTATGGAGCAGCTGGTGGATCCAAACATTTTGCCTTTGAGTTGGAGACATGCCTTTTCACCAGGCCACTAGAGCTCCCTCTGGCATGAAATAGGCACTCAGTAAGTGATAGTTGTTGATGTATTTGTTTTCCTTATTTTCTTTTAATAAACAGTCTCAAAAAGCCACAATGGGTAGTCAAAGTAAATCTTATCTACATTCTTCTTAGAATTAAATACACGTCTATTAAACTTGAAATGCTGGCCATGCCCAGATCTCTTTCATGAAGAAAGTACATAAAAGGGTTTTCTTTTGCACAAATTTTGGACCCTCGTGTCATCGAGCTGTGTCAATCCAATACATAGCTTTGAAAAAAATGTTTGCATATATAATTCACAATTTTTATGGTAATAATTCTTTTTTATTTTAGCTGCCACTGAGCTGACACCTGCCTTGGGTGACTGTAGGTGTTGAAGAGGAGAAAGGCTCCATAGGACCGTCTCAGTTGTCTTTAAGGAATCCGTTTACCAGGCCTTTCTTCCCCTGGAATCACTAGGTGAGTTTGATTCGCTCACCGGGAAATTCTTGTGGCACCCAGACCCCTTTGAAAGATTATTAATAGGCTGATGAGGAATGAGGGAGGCTGGTTGATATAAAGTTCTTATAGAATCAGGTTGTTTTATATTGGACGGTGACAACTAAAACTCCGTTAAATTTTTCCTTTGTTGGAAGTTTAAATGCAGAGACTCAGGTGGTCCTTGAAGGAGCCTGAATGATCCAAACTGTCACTGGCCCTGCTTTTTCAACAACACGAGGACACCTAGTGACAATAAAACTGTTAAGACTAGTGTAGGCATACCTACAATTCTAATACTGATTAATATATTTCTTTTCCTTATTAAAATAGGCAATAAAGGCTGAAGAATTCAGGTATTATATGATCTCTCTAGCAGTGGCCCGGATGATTAACACTTTTCTTAAAGGGATTTCTTTGTGAATAGGAGTGTATCCCCCATTTCTGTGTTTTCTCACCTGCTTGCCTTTCGAAGAACATCGAATAGATCATTGAGAGTCGTGGCGTTCTGAAACACGTTTGGAAAGCTGGAGAGAAGCTGCCACACAGCCGTCTGCTTCTGCACTTGTGAGAAGAAGGACAGAGCGTTGACCAGTTCCTGAAACACTATCTTCTGATTGTTGGGATCCCTTGATATCTTAAAACAAAATGACACAACGAGGTCAATACTCAGAATTGCATATTTGTAAGCACACAGCTTAATGTCTTTGACAATATTAAAAGTCCACATTCTGCATGTAAGCAAATCCTTTAGATATTTATAAACTTTGAACTTACATTTTTGTTTGGAAAAAACTGTAACTATTTATATGTTCTCAACAATAATTGGATTTTGTCCCCTCTCCCTAAAGCTCCATAAATTGCTGCTTATAAAATTTGGTTAGCAAAGTTATAACAATTTTAAAGTGCATATTTGAACATGTATTCTGAAAACAACTAACTGCTAGGCAATGTAAATACACACATAGATACACATTATATTTATATTCTGAATAGCTATTCAAAGGGAGTTCTGGTGGCCTAGTGGCAAGAAGCTGCACTGCAATCCCGAAGGCATGCATCTAGAGGCCACCAGCCACTCCTCAAGGCCGAACAATCTCCTCCCATGTGATTAACTGCCTCTGAAAATCCGCTGTAGGGTCAGCTATGGGTCCATTACAACTGTATAGTCCACAACAAACCTGTATTATCCAGATTTTTAAAGTCCTAATTCTTATCATATTCCCTAGCTCTGGTGGCCAAGGGGGTAAGAAGTTGTATTGCTTATCCAAAGACAGGAGATCTGAATCCATCAGCTGATCTTGAAAGAAATATGGGTAATCTCTTACGCAGTTTACAGCCTCTGAGAAGCTGCCTGAGGGTTAGCTACAAGTCTGCTCCAACTCTACAGCATATGACAACAACATAATAACAATCCTTAAAATAACCATATCCTGTATTAGCAAAGTAAAGATAAACCTGGGTAAACAGTGGTCATGACTTTTTCTCCAGGTTATAGAATCACACCAACTCCTTAAACAATAAATTACTTTGCTATTATATTTCCTCCTTCATGCTAGTGAACTTGGACTTTTCATCTCTTAATTCACAGCTTTATAGACTGTGAATGTGATCTTGAACAATGCATTCTTGACCATAATTTCCACTCTCCTCAATTAGTGAGTTTCTAATGAAAAAGTTTAAGTAATTAGGGTTTTTGTAATGACACCTTTAATTGGGTTCTTTCGGAAAATTCTGATTACTAAAAGATAACTAAGGTACACATTTCAAGTTCACCAGCTGCTCTGTGTTTCCTCACGTGCAATTTATTGTCTCTAGATACCTACTGGAGGGTCAGCTGTGAGTCAGTGACTTGATGGCACAGAACAATAGCAAAGGATAACATAAGCACTCTACTTGATAAACATGACTTACAATAACATTTACACAGTTGCAGGGGAAATATCAGAAATAAATATATTTCACTTATTCCCATCTATTATAAAAACTTAAAGAGAATTTGTAATATTTTGGGGACTCTTTACATTTATTTGGGTCTTGAGTCTTTTAAATGAAATTTAGAATATCTGTATTTTCTTTTCATCATCACAGCTTCAGGCAAGTGTATACAAAAGTCATTGGCATCCCATTGCAGAATGTTCTTGGTGCTGATGTATAAAATTTGAGAAGAGGGATCTTTTATTTCATAAGAACCTAGCTTTTCAAAATATGTGTGATGCCAGTGAGAAAAAGAAAACGAGGTTACCAGTTATTCTAATCTCTAGTAGTTTTATGACTATGATATTTTGTTACATTCACACTACACTAATTATGTTACATAATTAATTTATAGACATTATTAGTTTACATAATTTGTTAATTATAACAATGTCATGGACATTTATTAATTATAATAACACCATGATTGCCAGATAAACAAACGAATCTGTCTTGCAAGAAGCCAACGTACAGTTAAGATGTTCCTTAGAGATAAGAATTGTGGGATTTAATCCCATATACTTTGGACTTGTTATCAGGAGGAGTCAATGTCAGAAGGAGATGGTTTGCTTGGAAAAATGGAAGTTCAGAAAAAAGATTTTCAATGAAATGCATTAGCACAGGGTCTGCAACAGCGGATTTAAGCTGAGCCTGTGAAGATAGCACAGGATGGGGCGTCTTTTTGATCTACTGGGTCAAGAGTTGTTATGATGATACCTATTAACATCCAGAGTGATGTCGGATTAAAACTCTCAAAGGAAAGAGAAAGTCTTCATACCCCATCGAATAAATCCCTAACACATCCCCAAGGTACGTCTGTATTAACCATAACACATTATATTTGGTTCAGCATTGAGATCACTTCAAATCTCCACATTCAATAGAAGAGTGGGAATTAATTACTTAAAACTGGATGTGGTATGTAAACCTCTCTGTCAGGATTCAGGACAAAAGTCAGAAAATATTCTTAGCTGGTCAGCCTTTGCTAGCCTACACGTGCGTCAATTAAGGAATACAACAAGAATGAGGAGCACTGATGACTTGGGATTAAGGAGTTGCACTGCAAACCCAAAGGCACACAGTTCAAATCCAACAGTTGCTCCACAGGAGAAAGATGGCCAATCTCCTCCCATGTGCTTTACTGCCTCTGAAAATCTACCCATGGCCATCAGTTGGTTCTGACCCCACAGTGGTGTTTAATAACCAACAGAATGGGATATACATATATCTATATAAAGACTATAAAGAATAGGTTATACATATACACATACTCCTTCCTACCATTGTAATTGTTGCTCATTTTAGTAAAACACCCACACTCACCTGAGAGATCTGATTTTTTAGTTCTTGGAGAGAAGACTCTAAAAGGGACATGTTGGAAAGGCAGAACATATTGAAAACATTTTTGCCCAGAGTGGTCCAAGAAAAGGAATAGTCAGCCACATATGTTGGATGTTTCTCACAGAGTTCTCTTCGCACGTCTTCAGATGTTGAATTCTGTTTTAACAGCTGTAAAGAAAAAAGCGTGACAAAACATAATAATAACTTTAGTGAATAGAAAACAAAACTGATCCTGTACAATAGCCATTTAAGTTTCTGCATTGTTTCAACTGCTAAGATAACAGCATAATACATAGGGTTTACCTCTGAAAAGTTGTCAGGACAAACTGTTAACGTAATAAGTTCTTGTCATTGTTTTTTTTTTTTTTTTTTAGTTCTTGTCATTGTTATAAATGAAATGATTCACAGGAGAGCTGCTTAATTGGGTTCATTTGTGGTCTCTGACCAGAAAATCTGAATGCACCAGCTATTTCCTACTAAAAATGTCAGATGTTAAAACCCTCTTGATTTCTCCTGGACATTGTGCAGCAGAGACTCCTGCATCCTGATTCTTTGTGAAGTTTCACAAGAGGTGGGCTGTGATATTCCTGGAAGGCTTCCAGAAGCAGAGTGACCGGAGGGGCTACTCTCAGGCCCAACAGTGTTCATTTCGAAAAAATGAGCGAACATGACTCTTTCTCACTTGCTAAATAATGAAATAATTCTGCCACTTAAGTCTTGAGCATAAAAGGAGACACAAAAGTGTGCATGTGTATGTCTATGTCTGTGTCTTTGTGTGAAATAAAGTATAATCACCAAGCTTAGGATATCGAAAGCATTTTCATGACAGAATTACAATTCCCTCACACTGCACTGTGCACCTAGTCTCAGATACAGCACTAAATTCAACTATAATATTGATTACATTCACCATTATTAAGTACTTCAGGTTTTTAAAGACCCAATTTAATTGTAAGACCTAAAGCCCCATCCTAATAATTCATTCTTACACCCTGTGAAGTGAATGCCAACTTTGGCCACCTACTGAGTTTATACCCCAGAAATCAACACTCTGATTTCCTATGACTTGGCTTTTAAATGCAATGGAATCAGCCAGGATCCACTTTTTCTATACTGTACTTTAAGTGGGAGGTCTTTGAGTCATCCGTCCTTATCACTTCTTTAACATTGTACATAAACTCATCCCACTATGATTTCTCTACTCATTCTTGCAAGGGTTGCAGAAAGTGGTAAAGAGGAAGAAAGGGGAATCAGAGATTGCTGACACAGGCATCAATACATCATCGTAATTTTTACATCCTTTCCCTGTTCCGACTACTCTAAAACTACGTATCTATACATAGAACATTCCTTTTTGACTTAGCATCACTAGATATATGGTACAGTGCTGCATCACAAAATTCTGAAATGTGATTTCATATGAATAAGAGAACTTGGGGAGTTTTAATACAATAAAGTGGTATTTTTGAGAACAGCATTGCTATCCTAGATATTAAATCATCTGTCTGCTCCAGTGTAATACTATCTGCTTCTAGTAACCAATATGTGAGAATTAGAATGGAATAGAAGAACTTTCCCCATTTGATACACTGGCATGATTTAGAGAGGTTTGTGATTGAAATTAACTGGGCATATTGGAAAGTTTCCTATTCCAGCCGAGTAACTGCAAATATTGTCAGGCTTCTAGCAATCTAGCCTTAACTGACTTAACTTTGATTTTGGCCAGCACTGGCAGAGTTGATAAGTGTGGTGCCTTTTTCTGGTACCCATTTCTATAGCTCTTTTTAGCTTATTTATATAACTAGTTTCTTGAGATACATGTTACACAGAAAGCTGCTGTTGGTAGGGGCTGTTGAGCCAGCTCTAACCACAGTAACTCTCATACAACCGCAACTCCGCCCAGCCTCCCCCATCCATCTGCACTGTGTCTGCTGTGCTTAAGAACACACAAGTAATGGTAACTAATGGAGGCACTCTAGGCAGCACTATTGGTAGTGGTGTCCACTGGAACAGGAATAAAAATGAGGCTTGGTTCAGATGGAGGAAAAGTCTACTACTAAGTAAGATATAATACAAAAAATACTTGTGTTTCAAGGGAAGTTTTAATAATAGAATTCAGAAGGTAGGAAGGGCTATGAAGAATGGAGACATGAATAGAAATAATCCACGGATAGTGGAAAAAGAGATGATACAAGGCAGGAACTGTAGACAGTGTCCTAACACAGGATGCATGTGAATGCTTGGATGCAATCGCTATCTGCTCCATAAACTTTCATGTAAAACATAATTTATAAAAGAAAGAAAAGGCAATAATTTTTGTGTGTACTGATACAGAAGACACCATCCTTTTTATTTCAGTCTTGAGCAAGCAGGCAAGTAATTTAAATGTATAAATCTGGCTGAATGAGAAATAATAATAATTACCTGAGGACAGTGGTTAAGAAAAGAGTACCTTTTCTATAAAAATGCTTAAATGCAATTTCTTAGAATTTTGCATTGTTACACACACACAGACACATAATTTGCACTCATAGGCTATGAGTTTAGAGAGTCAATAGAAACTATGTTTATTATCTTGCAACCTGGGAGATTTTAAGAGGATGATCACTAGTAAACAGAAGGCAATCCAAAGGTAAGCTCTCTATACACACTAAATAAATGGATTTTTTCCCCTTTTTATACTGAGGAGATATTTTCCATACACATTAGTATGAATAAGATTTGTAGCTTCAGAAAATTAAAAGATCACACACATAAGCCACCCTATATCTTATTAAATTAAAGCTTTACATTTGATTAAGGGACTTACCAGAAAAGCAAATAAATACCTAAGAATTAAGAAATTCAGAGTATCTCTGAAATAGGATTTGGTATTTTTTTAAAAAAGAACAAAATAAACAAAAAACCATGGCGCACTCTGGTGGCCTAGTGGCAAGAAGATGCTCTGCAACCCCAGAGGTGCACAGTTCGAATCTACCAGATGCTCTGCTGAAGAAGGAGGGACAATCTCCTTCTGTACCAGTCGGATGTGATTTGATGGCACACATGAAAAATATAATTTTTAAAAAAACACAACACAAACAATCAAACAAAAAACAAAACATTTCTGAAAAATTCCCTCAGCTATTTACTTCAAATTGGCAGGGGGCTCCAAAAGTATTCCAATTTGGGCAGATCTCTCGACTTACTTTAACGTCTTTGTTCAACTGTTCTTTATTATCTGTCCATTACAAAGTAGTGTAAAGTTACCTTTTCTAAATCAAGGAAGAGTGCAAACACTTGACTGGCATTGAAAGTATCTGTTCCAGTATCGTCGACATCGGGATTTGGAATTGCTGAGGCTGTAGTGAAAGAAAGGACAGATGAGCACCTCCAAGGCCATCACAGAGGGCAGGATCACTCAAGAACAAATACCACCTGTCCATCCCTTATTCCTCACTCAGCAAGAAGGGGCTCAAATAGTCACCTTTCCTCGGAGAAATTTTCACACCAGGAATCAAATATGGCAGATTGCATGGTGAGGTGTTTGTTGTTTTGTTATGTTTATTTCTTTACACATAAAATGATGATGGTTTTGGTCTGCTCTTGGGTTCTTTCCAAGCCTTTAGATGTCCTTTGCGTTCATTCCCTTTTGTGTCATTAAACTTCATCACTGATATTACTGCTCAATAAACTGAATCTGGAGAGTGTGAGGTGTCTCCACTACCCCCCAGATCCATCATATTCAACATCTGTTCTAAGGATCTGCCAATGCACATCTGGTGATAATGGTTTTCTTTCTAATTATTCAGTGGGGAGAGGGAAATCTGCTTAGGATCGTAAATTCTCTCCTCCCCGCAGTGGTTTCTGAATGATGGTTCATATAAAATACCTGAGACAAAGCAATTAGTCTGGGATACAGTAAACTCTAATTAAGTAACCCCTGAAATGGCCTCATAGAGTGCTATTCATAATGGGGCAGAATTTTATGGAATAGGAGCATTCACTCAAAGACTACATTCATATGCATGAATGTTCATTCATTAAGTTAGCATGCTAATTTTTCTAAATATCAGCCAGAAGTATCATCTTCTCCCCACAGCAAAGAGTTTTAATATCCAAAGGTACCGGTGACCCGTCATTAAGTAGGGCCTGGGCTTTGTTTAAATGCCCATATGACAAGAATGTGTTCTCTCATCTGATTCCATGGCTGTAACACCACTGGCCAGCGTGAGAAACATAGGCTGTGGCTACTGAGCAAAGCCAAGCTAATTGGACCACATCACCATGACCTTGACCTTATTTCCGCTGTGCTCTAACCCACTGAGCCAAGCGATCACAGATCATTTACAACATGATATTAACTCCTCAAAACCATTCATCACCATATTCCACTACGCAGCACATAGCATTTTTCCTTTGGTCCGTCAACCTGTACTGAAAGGGTATTTAATAACATAAAATCTTATACATTTCTTGACATTTAAAAAATATATTACTGGAATCCCCTCTTCCCAGTGCATCAGCCCCACGTTAACCCTCCTGCACTCTAAGAGCCATCAGGATGGGGACCCTTGCTTTGTTCACTAATATTTATCTCCTGCACCAATAACAGTGCGTAGACAGGAGCAGGCGATCAATAAATGTTTGTTAAATGATTATAAAATGGTCTTGTTGTATCAACACTTTATCTTCATTTTTAGCTTTTTGTTTTTTAACACCATTGATTAAAAAAGTACATAGGCATATAGCTCAGGATCCCATATCTTAAAGGAGCCAATGTTTGAAGTCACCAGCTCAGATGTGAAGTCAGTAGAAAACTAGTAGAAAATTGAGCATCGAGTGAGAGGAAGGAGAGGATAGTGGCAACATCAGTGGTCTGCCTGTTACCCTAGTCCCAGGTCTACTGTTCAACTGTGGAGCACAGCTAGTACCTACCCCTGTTGGCCTCGTATTCACCATCTGTAAAATGGAAAATTTGGACCAGCTTCTGAGATCCCTTTCAGTCATCTTTATTATGTGCTCACTAACTATGGCCCCACTACTAACCGCAGATACACAACATGAGTAGAACTCTCTGTCTCTCATGCTGGAGACGTGGGTTCAAATCCTAGCCAGTGTACTTCAAGCACAACCACCATCCAGGGAGACTTGCATGCTGCTCTAATTTCCACTCTAATGAATGGGTCTCAGCAGAGCAGCCAAACTCAGATAAATGAGCAGGAAAGACCTGCTAATCCATTGTTGAATATCCATCAATGAAATTGGTATGGGACACAGGAGTTTGATCCCATTGTGTGGGGGGTAATCAGGAGAAAGGACTGATTTGACAACAGATAATAGGGAGACTCATGGAGAGTCACTGGGAATTTCTGGGAAAGAGGGAAATCCTCAGCATCAGTTTAGGTCCACGCAGATTTTTTTACTCCTATAGAATAATTCAGTATTAAATTAACTTCTAATTTTTCTTGAGAACGTTCCATAATTATGCAACTAAACCCGGTGACTATAAGAACTCCTCTTCGGGAGTTCTGGTGGCCTAGGGGTAAGGACCTGTGCTGCCAACTTGAAGTCTGATTGTTCAAATCCACCGTCTGCTCAATGGGAGAGAGATGGACAAACTTCTCCTGTGCGGTTCCACTGCTTCTGAAATCCTGCTGGAGGCTCTGCAGTGAGTTGGTTCTGATTCAACAACAGCAGATAACAGCAACAACAACAGGGATATTCTAGGTACCTCGGCTTGGAAATGAAAACCTTTTAAAGATTAGACTGTCGCTGGTGGTTGTAAAAGGTTGTTCTGAACTCTCCAGAAGAGAGTAACTTACCTGCCGATGCGTGCCTGCTTTCAAGAACTTTAGCTCTCTGGAGTGATAAATCGCTGCCCTTCTTCAGGTGGGATGACTTTCTCAGAATTTCACTAGGGAAGAAAAAGCAAGAACTTTATAAGTTCATTCACATTCATTCCAGTTTGTTACAAAAATGTGTCACATGGCAAAATCCAGGGCTCTTCCAGGACACTCACATTTTTAATCTGCTTTCTAGGATTTTAATAGAAGAACTCACCTAACCATATACCCATGAATACATAAAGATGCCTATGAGGGAAATTTTTATTCCGTGTAAATGGTCTAGCTGGAGTTATTTTTCACTTTAATCTTGTCAAAGGGAAATTATTTGAAGAAGATGTTAGAGCCAAATATTAAAAGTATTTAGGATAATTTATTTCAAAAGGACGATGATTTCAAGTAGACAAAAGTTCAAAGGTGCTCTAGGTACTGAAACAAAGCTCTGGTTATTTGTCAACATGAAATGAAAAACATCTTTTAAATCCTTCACTCTTCTCTTTAGAAATTAACATAGAAAACCTGAGTATTTAGGGGAAAAGATGCAAGGGGAAAGGTAAGATGAAAACATTTCCTGGGTATCTAGTCTGTTCTCAGGGTCATGGTTGGGTTCATCATAGGTGATACCATGAACTTCAGGCAAAACATCAGGCGGAGATTCTCAATCACATTGGAGGTTTCAACACGATGGGACTAATTTTGTGGTGCCAGGATTCCCAGTGCAGTCTGCCCACCACGCTTCTGAAGGAAATGAGATTGAACCTTCCTACAATTTAGTGATCCTCTTTTCGATTTTTTTTAAAAAAATTATTTTATACTGATTTATTTACAAAGTTCGAATACATTTACTTTTTAATTTACTTTCCACTTTATTGAATCTCTTTAAAAAGGAGAAGTTAACATTCTCTTGAAAACTGGATATTACTTTAAAAGGCAGTGCCTGAAATAAAGTGAGTCTATTTCAAAGTGGAAGTGAATCCAAGTGCCTAAGTGAGAGTATTTTTCAGGATTTCTTAAAATTGATTATGTTAACTGAATCATTTATAAGGGTTCATTAAAGTATGCCCATGTTCGACTGGAAAGATAAAGATAATATTGGACAAACAAGAAGTTCTGCCCACCACTGTAATCAAATTTGAGTGACTTGTTAAGGGGGGAGAAAGGTGCTTTTTAGCTACAGTGGGTAGAGTGTTGAGCTGCTAACCAAGAGATCAGTAGTTCGAAGCCACCACCACTTCAGGAGAGAATCATGTGGCAATCTGCTTCTGTAAGGTTGGAAACCCTAAAACAGTTCTACTATATCCTATGGGGTCACAATTAGTTGGACTACACTTGAAAGCAGTGTGTTTGGGTGATTTTTTTAAAAAGAATCTAAATCTTACTTCCAAGGTACTATCAGTTATGACCAGAGAAAACTATGGGAAATTTTTTTGCATAGCATTGTTTTTAAAAAATGATAAAGAGCGATGATGTTTGTTTATATTCTCTGGTGTTTTTCCCATGTTCTCCATAAAATGTACTGTTTGCTCCAAAAGTTCTGCATTCTTAACGTGCATTTGAATTATTCAGACCATGACAGCATTCCCATATTTTCACATTCCTTCTACAATTCGGATGAGAAAACTCTTCAGATAAAAATAACAGCTGACCTGAGCCTTTCCCCTTCTCTCAAATGGAAGTTTGAAAAAGTTTGAGACAGTCGGTTTACTTTTTCTTTTTCTCAAGACATTTCTGTTCTGCTTGAAACCCTGCCAGGAAGCCTATTGAATATCAACACTTGTTGGGAATATAGAGGGGGAAGTACTTTCATAAAATTTTTAAGGAACAGGGACAAAGACGAAAACTGAAGAGAGAATGGCATAGATCAAAATGTGCAGAGAAGGAGTAAGAGAAAATAGACTGAATAGTAAATAGGAGAGAGGAGCCGGGTGGGGAAGAAAGATGACAGTGCATTAGGAAGCTAAGAGTGAAGAGGCAAAAGTAATATTGGCACAGACGGTACCTTGTCTGTTTATCCAAACTGCACCTGCAAGCATTCTTTAAACACCAAGTGAAGACAAGCTCATTTTGCAGCTTAACAGAACGCTGGCTCAGCTCATTAGCGAGTCTGCTTCTTGCAACAAGGAATCTTGAAGGGTCTTTTGCTAACGAGATCTTTCCTTGATCTGCCTTACAAGGTAGCCTATCATGGGAGTAGGGGTCTATCTCCTTTTTACTTGACCACAGCAGACCTTTCTATAGGGACTCAAGTGTGGAGTAATTATACTGCGCTGCTCCCTGGCCTACAAAATTTCCCCAGTTGTCCAATTTTATTTTGCACTTAATATGGGATGTAGTAGTCTTCATCCTAATCCTCACTGTATAACAAAAACTCTTCTTGTTAAATTCTTAAAAGAGAAATCACAAGAGAAATACAAAATAGACAGGATTGTGCTGGGAAAAGCTGAATTAAAGGTGAAGTCAAAGACAATTAAATCTATGAACTTCTATTGAATTACTAAAGGAGATTCTTGGTAAGGTAACTAGTCTTAACTGAGTCAATGGTATTCTTTGACCTTTCTAATGAACATAATTATACTTCTAGACACATTCTTTATAGAAATGGGTAATAATGATACCTTTGTCATTATTTCACATATTTAAGAATGACATATAAAAAATACTATAACAATTATTTGTGAAGATCATCTTCACAATTACTTGATATACAGCAGAAAGCTGGACAATTACTAAGGATGACAGAAAGAGAATTGATGCCTTTGAGCTGTGGTGCTGGAAAAGAGTATTGACTATACCATGGACTGCTAAGAGAACAATCAAGTTCATTCTAGAGAGGGTGAAACCAGGCTGCTCCTTGAAGGAAAGGATTTTACAGCCCCATCTGATATATTTTGGGCATATTGCAAGGAGGGATCATTCCTTGGAGTGGGACATCACACTTGGAAGGGTGGAGGGACAGCACAAGAGAGGAAGACCCTGGATGAGATAGATTGGCTCAGTGACTGGGGTAGTTGGAGTAGGTGTGTCAGAGACAATGAAACTGGTTCAAGAGAGAGCAGGGTTCAGAGATGTTGTACACAGGATTGCTACAAATCACAAGTGCCTCGACAGCATATAACAAGAACATACCATTTATTGGATGCATGATGTTTCTATTGTTTCCTCATACCTCTTGCTTCTAGGTTGCACCATCTTTGAGAGCAGCCATCATCACTTAGTCCTCTTTATTTCCCTAACAGTTAACACGGTACTGAACCATAAGCTCTGTTGGCTGATTGACTCAAAGAGAAACTATTGATGGAGTGTGGTAGAAAGAGATTTCAAGTTCAAAGTTGCCTTTGGAATCTTAGGTCTGTCTCTACCAGAAAAAAAAAGCCCCTTAGCCACTGTCTCCCTCATCTGTAAATCAGGAATAATAATATCTACCTTGCAAAGTGGTTGTGGAAGTCATATGAAATGTGTGTATCAAGGTTTGGCCACTGTCATCAGAGGTGTTTACCATGTTAGCCCTTGGTCAAAGAACCCATAAATAAAAAATGATGCAGACACACAGCCTTCTCTCTCAGTATGGAGCTAAAACTGTAAGCATATGCAACCACACTTTGGATAGAATAATTCCCCTTGGATATTAGAATTGTCAAGAACTCATGATATCACCGTTATTTCACAGATCTGGAAACTATAGGCTTAAAAAGTAAAATGAGAAGAAGGCACTCCCACTCAGGGTTCCACAACCCCTTTTTAATGTTATACTTAATTTAACTTTTTATCCATTTATTTGTACAGAGTAGCAGAAATGTTTGCCTGTAGTCATGATCAGTTTCATCCTTCATTGACTATAGGTTTAAGAAGTATACAATACATTGTGTTAGCGTGTTAGTACATTTAGCACATGGCAAACACTGAATACTTGAGAATCAAGAATATCACTGAGAAAAAGAGATAGAGAGTAGCTTTTCCTAAGTGCTCTTCCCTTCCCTGCTTTCCTTTGCTGCATACCTAGTTCTCCAAAGTTCCTTGGAAGAGGACATACCAGGACTTGCCCCACAAATGCAGGTATAATTTTGAACTGGGCCTTCATATTCATTCATACACTTGTCTGCATTTCTTAAACGCCCATCATACGTCATTTTCCATAGGAAAGATAAACACTATAATATTATAGCAGGCAAAATTGTTTTAAAACTAAGCTCTAGTGGCAAGAGGCTGCACTGTCTATCTTGAAGGCATGAAGTTCAAATCTACCAGCTGCTCCACAAGAGAAGGAAGGGAAATCTCCTCCTGTGTGATTATTCCCTCTGAAAACCCACCAGAGAGCCAGCTATTGATCAGTTCTGACTCAAAAATACACAACAACAACAATGATAATACATTAGTGGTAAGAGCTAAGGAGATTATGAGAGCCTAGGTTAGAGGGATCTACGGTCTTTGCATTTTTATAGAGCACATTTCTTAGAATCACTATAGTCTTAATTTCAGCTTCTTACCCCAGTAAAGTTTTTCTCTTTACCATTTTGATAGACATGTATTTCTCAACTGGGTCTATTTTGCCCCCTTTCCATCATGCCTTCTGGCCCAACACCATCACCATGAGGGACATTGGGCAAGATCTAGAGACTTGTCTGAGAGTCACAAGAGGAGAAGGAGGCATCCTATCTTTAGTAGGTAGAGGTCACGGATGCTGCTCACCTTCCTGTACTGTACAACACAGCCAGCAACATTCAAGACTTATCAGGCCTTTAGTGCCAATAATATCAAAACTACAGAACTGTACATAGATAATCACATCTCCATACTCCCAGGACCAACTCAGGTGGCTTAAAAGCTTGTTCATAAACTTAGCTCTCCATATGTTCAATCATTAGGCAAAACTCAAATGATTTCTGAGTTCAACACTTAGACCCAATGATTCCAGAAAATCCAACCTTCAAGATCATCCAAGAAAGTCTGCAACAAATCACCACGTGGTCTATGACATTATTTAACTTTTATTGACCTCGACTAATACTGGTCAGATCCAAGAAGATGACTAGGGCCTAAGAAAATACAAGCATGGTTTCTGCCTCAGAGACAT